TTATTCTCCGAGGTCCGTGTAAGAGACTGTCTCCTTAGGGGTGCCAGCTATTCCTGCCTCCTCCGTTAGGAACCCACGATGCCTTCCGTCGCACCCCCTGGAGTCACCTCCTGAGATTAGGGATGATGTTGAAACCATCTTGATAACCCTCCAGCACCAAGCTCCATGCCACAAAGCAAACGCTCAATTAATCTCGATCTGATCAAACCAAAACCCAGTGGAAATTGGTTCCAGGGGCCGGAGGGGACTGAGGTGGGGCAGGTGGGGAAAGCCCCACAGCTCTATCTAGAAGAGCCGCCTACTTACGGGAGTGATGGCCCCGCAGACGCCTACGGGCTCGTGCCTGGTGAAACACACGACGTTGTCATCTAGAAGAGAGTTTACGATGCTAGATTCATCTCGGTGAAAATCTTTTAAACGGTAAAAAGACAAGAAAGAAACGCAGCAACCCACGGAGGTGCCGGCTCTACGTCTCGTCTGGGATGCAAAAAAGCGATTTTAAATTCCATTTCGAAAGTAAAACTCCTTAGAAGAAAGATCGGCTTGAGGGCCATTCCTTTTGGGGGCAGGGTCGGGGGGAGGCCTGGAGAAGACCAGGGGTGCTCTGAAGACGGACGGGGAGGAACGGGAAGACAGAACCCCCGAAAGACCCCGGCTCACCTGTGGGGATGGTTTTGCCCTGTATCTTGTCCGCCCACCCCGCGAAGTACCGCAGGGTCTTGACACAGCCCTCCAGGTCGATGAAGAAGGCGTGGAGAAACGGCTTGCCCGTGTCCATCGTTTCCAGGGTCTGTAACGAGAAGACGGCAGCCTCAGGCCTGGCCTTTCCTTCGCTTCCACGGTAGGTCAAGGACGGGGCTGGACGGGGTCGGGGGGAGAGTGCGCTTGGCCATCGCCCTCCGCCCCTCCCAGCCAGGGGCATCTCTTCAGAAAGCGAGACGCTACATCGAACATCAGAGCCGTCCTGGACCCTCCGGGGCGCTCTGATTTCGGAATGCGTAGAGCCGGGGGGTCGGCCGGAGCGCCAGCGTGCGTCCCCACGAAGGACAGCACCCGTGGGGACGACGTGCGGCCTCGCTGGGAGGCAGGATGCTCTAGCGCGTGGTCGTCCGTCCAGCGTGCAGCAGCCTCAGCGGCGTGACCTGGCCACACGGATTCGCACACTCCCGAGAAGCTTCTGGAGGGTTAGCTGTCTCCCTCCAACGCAAGAGAAACGGAGGACGTAGTCCAGCTGATGGCACGTCGTGGAGGGAGTGACCGGCCGAGCCCAGAAG